CCCTTCATCTGTTAAGCATTGACAGAAACAATAAGGGATTTGTATGGTTAACATTGGAAACTACAAATATATCGAAAGGGTTCATGATCAGTTCTTTATCTCTTTCTCTGTTCTTCTCCCCGTCTTAGTATCTTCCTTTCTGGGGGCTGTGTGTTTTTTTGCTCTGCTTTATCTTCCAAATCAGCAATTTCATTCTGCTGTTCTGAAGTGCAGCTTCTGCAGTAGAGTTTCCGTGTCATCAGAGATTTCACAACAAGTTTCTTCAGTTTCAAATTCAGCAGTTTCACTGCTCTCTTAGGCTACGTCTACACTGGCATGATTTTCCGGAAATGCTTTTAACGGAAAACTTTTCTGTTAAAAGCATTTTTGGAAAAGCATGTCTAGATTGGGAGGACGCTTTTCCGCAAAAGCGCTTTTTGTCACACAGGGGGCTGATCCACAACCTCACTCACCTTTCCACGGGGTCGCCTGTATTCACCAGCATGTTGTAGCGGAGGCCAGCAGATCTAAGGCTCAAGCCACAGTTAAACGGTCTCTCTGAATCTGGGAGAGTTGTTCCAGGCAGTGCAAGGTTCCAGTGCAAATACATTGACACACATCCCCTCCATCTCCAGAGTCCCCTGGAATCTCTCAGGCAGGCAAGGGACAAAGGGAAGGGTAGAGGGATCCAGGATCTCCCTCTCTACCAGATCCTGGCCCAGTGTTCAAGGGGAGAGAGGTGAGAAGTGGCTCAGTTCCTTCTGGCTGCTATTCCAGATCAGGCTCCCCTGGGCAACTTCTTCCCTTTCCTGTGTTTTCCCTTCAGCTTTCTCTTTGCAGCCACAAGGAATTCCCAACTCACTTTGGGTATGTCTACACTACCCCGCTAGTTCGAACTAGCGGGGTAGTGTAGACATACCCTGAGACAGCCGCGTTATTTCAGGATACCATTTGCCATTTTGTTGCCTAATCACTTCGTTCAGTGAGATCTTTTTGAAGCTCTTCACTGTCTGCTTTGGTCTTAACTATCTTGAACAGTTTGGTATCATGTACAAATTTCGCCACCTCACGGTTTACCAGTGTCCCTTGAGTGGCTTGCCACCAAAATGTTAAAATACGTTGCTATTAGAACTGAGCGTATATAATATTCATTGAATTTACTTTCATATAGGATTTAGATACAGTGTTTCTCTCTGCTAATTGCTAAGGTATCGCCCCCAAAATGGTGTTTTCAAGTACCTTAGTGGCTCCAGGAAAGAGCTGATGTCTGTGTGTGGAAAGGTGGACAGGGTCAATGTCTCTTGCCCCCCGCCTTCCCTCCAATTTGCTCCTTGGCTTGTACTGAGCACATTCAGCAACACAGCAGAAGCTGCTGTCCTCACTCTGGCCCCCACCTTGATACTGTGGCATGCACAGATTACCTTCCTGACAAAATCTGAAATGCTTCCTCAGATTTAGCCCCAGACAGGAAGGTGAGGCTGACCTCCCTCTATTCCCCGGTATAGGCAGACACTGAGTTTCACCTCATCTGAGGAGCTATTTCAGTGAGTTCTTGCTGTGGGATCTTGCATCTGGTTTTTGTCCTTGGTGAGGAATATCACAGTGTATCTGTGAGGGAAGGTGACCCTTTATTTTCCAAAAGATCCGCGTCTAAACTGGTGCTTTTTTCCAGCAAAGCTCTGAGCTGGAAAAAAGCGGCAGCCATTTTGATGCTAATGAAGCGGGGGTGGAGGGGATTTAAATCCCCGCTTCATTTGCAATTGCAATAGGTCTAATTTGCATCACTTTTGCGGAAAAGAGACGCAGTCTAGACACAGCCCATGACATTAACATATGCTGGTACAAAGAGGTTTCCTTTCCATTTATAAACAGAACAGAAGACTGCTGTATTTACTGAATGATTTTGACCTTTATTTATAGCAAATATTGTCTGGGATTCTTTCCTTTTATTTTCATTAAGGGCATTAACATTATTGCTTTGCTTAGTTCTTTAATCCTCTCTGAGATTCATATGCATAGAGCTATATATAGAGCCCCTGATCCTTCCTCAGGAGAACATGTTAGCTCTAGACAGAGATTACACTGCCTCTTGAAAGCTTGTAAACAATACCTGCTTAATGAAATCCTCTGGCAAATATCAAATTTTAACACAATTCAATGTAAGACACTTTCCACCCTAAAAAGTGCCATTCAGATTTTTACGGGCAGATATAAACATTGATGATTAAGTTCAATAGGATGCTAGGAATTATTAGGATAAGGATAGAAAATAAGACCCGGAATATCTTACTGTCCCTGTATAAAACTATGGTACGCCCATGTCTTGAATACTGTGTACAGATGTGGTCTCCTCACCTCAAAAAAGATATTTTGGCCTTGGAAAGGGTTCAGAAAAGGGCAACTAAAATGAACGGGTTTGGAACGGGTCCCATATGAGGCGAGGTTAAAGCGACTGGGACTTTTCAGTTTAGAAAAGAGGAGACTGAGGGGGGATATGATAGAGGTATATAAAATCATGAGTGGTGTGGAGAGGGCCGATAAAGAAAAGTTATTTATTAGTTCCCTAAATAGAAGAACTAGAGGACACCAAATGAAATTAATGGGGAGCAGGTTTAAAACTAATAAAAGAAAGTTCTTCACACAGTGTGTAGTCAACCTGTGGAACTCCTTGCCAGAGGAGGCTGTGAAGGCTAGGACTATAATAGAGTTTAAAGAGAAGCTAGATAATTTCATGGAGGTTAGGTCCATAAAAGGCTATTAGCCAGGAGATAAAATGGTGTTCTTGGCCTCTGTTATTCAGAGGCTGGAGAGAGATGGCAGGAGACAAATCACTTGATCATTATCTTCGGTCCACCCTCTCTGGGGCACCTGGTGCTGGCCACTGTCGGTAGACAGGATACTGGGCTAGAAGGACCTTTGGTCTGACCGAGTACGGCTGTTCTTATGTTCTTATGTCACCTTCATTAATTGTGATTCCCTATGTCCTGTGTCAATTGCAAACTTCATGAATATCCAGGCATGAGAAAGGTTAATGGCTCAGTTACTGATGCCTCTCTCTGCTTACTGTTGCCAGTTAACAAAAGGTCTCAGCAAAAGAAGAAGGGAAATGACACACAAGCCAGCCTGCAGCCCTAAATACCAAGTCCGTATTGCCCTTCATGACTATTCTGCTGACCCTAAAACCATAGTGTAGCAGAATAATGACTGTTTACATGGGAGGGAAACGTGCCTGCTTTCCAATATAGCCGTTGCATTGTGGAGCAGACCTATGCTCCATCTAACGCAGTGTCCTCTCCCATATAGTGACAGCCCCACATGTATTCAATAGAACGTGTAAGAAAGCTGATAGTGGATGGATTGGGTGGGATGATATGACCGTCTTTATGGTATTGCCATAATCCCAAACATCTAGAGTATGTCTACACTGAGGAACTATTCTGTGATATTGGAAGTATCCTGAAATAGCTATTCTGCATCTATGGAAGCATCCAGTTATTTCTAAATAGATTTTGAAATATCAGGCTTCTTATTCTGATGTCCCGGTAACCCTCGTTCCACAAGGGTTAAGGGGAATTTCAGAATAGCGAGTTATTTCGAAATTTGGCACTGTATTGACAGCGCCAAATTCCTAAATAAGCTATTTTGAAATAGCATGGAAATAAGCTATGCAATTTGTGTAGCGCAAATTGCGTAGATTATTATGAGCTAAGGGTGCTGTGTAGACACCCCCCTAGAGATTGGCTTGTGATATGATGCATGAGCTTTCCCAAATATTTGTTTACCTGTAACTATTGTAACTGTATAGTCTCAATATACATGAAATATCCAAAACCTTCCTGATTTTACTCAACTCATTGTCTCAACCTCTTGTGCCCATGGGCTCCTCAGCCTACTACAGCATTGAAGGAAGAAAGTATTCTTTCTTTATCTGTTTTGAATTTGCCACATTTCGGTTTAATTGAATGTTTTCTTGATCTTGTGTTATCTGACAGGGGAGAACACATTCCCGATCTACACTCAACTGGTCAATATTTCATAGACCTTTTTCATTTCCTCTCTTATTCATCTCCTTTGTAGGTTCATAATCCCAATCCTTCCAGTCTCTCTCTACTTGAGAGTTTCCTGGCCCTGGATTATTCCCATTTCATTTGCTTGAACCACTCTAGTTCTTCAATATCTGCAGTGAGAATGATGCCAAGCACTTCACGGAGGAATCCCAAGAAGGGTGGAACATTGACAGAGGAATCTTATGGCATGGTTATTTTTTATGATTCCCCATCCCACTCCTCCTGGATCCAATTTTTTTCTTAGCTTCTTTGTCTGCTTCCGTAGTCTCCAAGGTTTCAGAAGCTGTGTACCATGATCCCGAGGTCCCTGTCCCAAATTCATATAGTTAAATTAGGGCCTTATTAGGTGTGTGAGGAATTCAAGATTTTCCATCCAATAGGACAACCCACTGCAGTTATTGACACTGAATTTCATCTACTCTCATGGGGTACGTCTACACAGCAGCGTTATTTCAGAATAAGTGGCGTTATTCCGAAATAAAATAGTCCATGACTACACTACAAGCAGTTATTTCGACATGATGTCAAAATAATGTCGAGCTGGAGAGTTGCTTACTCTGACTCCTGTAACCCTCATTTTATGAAGAGTAAAAGAAGTCGGAGGAAAAGTGCTCTTTCTCAGACTTCCTGCTGTGGAGACAGCGCCAAAAGCTGAAATAAGCCATTTCAACTCAAGCTACTCAATTGACATAAATCAAATTAAGCTACGCACCTTGAGTTTTGCCCTGCTGTGTAGACGTGCCCATTGTGTCCATTCACCTGACTTGGTTTGCTCCCTGTATGGAGTACTCTGGACTTAACAATGAATTTAACGAGATGGTGCCTTCTGTTTTGTTACCACCTCAAAGCTCACCCTCTTTCTATATATACATTTCATATGTTTTGTTATAAATTGTGTAATTCCCCTCACTGTGCCTGTCTCCTTTCACAGATACGTGGAGCATCAATAGACAAATGGACCACTTCCTGGCACCGCTCAACCTCACCTTCTCAGGGCCTTCAACATTCATCCTTATGGGCATCCCTGGTCTGGAACATGCCCATGTCTGGATTTCCATCCCTTTTTCTGTGTTCTACATTATTGGCCTGTTGGGAAATTTCACAGTTCTCTTTGTTGTGAGCAAAGAGCAGCCCCTGCACAAGCCGATGTACCTGCTGCTTTGCATGTTGGCAGTAACAGATATTGGGACGTCTACCTCCATCGTGCCGAAGGCACTCGGTATATTTTGGTTCAAATTGAAAGGCATTGCACTGGATGGCTGCCTCACCCAGATGTTCTTCCTTCATTCGGCTTCCGTGATGCACTCAGCCGTCCTTGTGATAATGGCCTTTGATCGCTACGTGGCCATATGTAACCCTCTGAATTATGCCACCATCCTCAGCAATGCACGAATAGCCAAGCTAGGGCTAGTGGGTTTGATAAGAGCTGTTCTCTTCATCCTGCCCATGCCCCTGCTCCTGAGTAGGCAGACATTTTGTACCAACTGCATTATCCACCATAGTTTCTGTGACCACATGGCTGTGATAAAGATGTCAAATGGAGACACAACAGTGAACAGGATGTATGGCTTGGTGATAGCAATTGTAGTCAATGGGTTAGACCTTATTCTCATTGCCTTTTCCTATGGTCTGATCCTCAGGGCAGTCCTCAGTCTCTCCTCCAAGACAGCCCACCAGAAAGCCCTCAACACCTGCACTGCCCACCTATGTGTGATACTGACGTCTTATACACCCTCACTCTTCTCCTCTCTAACACATCGGTTTGGCCAGGGAATCGCTCCACATGTTCACATCATTTTGGCCAACCTCTGTTTCCTCCTCCCCCCCATGCTCAACCCTATTATTTATGGGGTCAAAACTAAAGAGCTTCGAGACAAAGTGAGGAAATACATGTGCAGGAGGTGATCACCTGGAAACATTAATTGGAATCTTGCATGACAAGAATGAGAAAGGATGTCTCCTCATTAATCAAGGTTGCTCTGTTATCTCTGGAATGTGCTCACGGCCTGTGCCTAGTACCTTAGAGGTCTGAATGTTTCTGTATTATCAGTCCTGTTCTTGCCAACTTCTGTGAACAGGGCCCTGTCTCTGGCTCACAGCTTTACTTTGCTTTACAGGAGCAGTTTTGACTACAGGGCCCTGTCTCTGGCTCACAGCTTTACAGGAGCAGTTTTGACTATTGCAGTCTAGGCCTCAGGCCTCACACCTAGCCTGTAAAATGTTGGCTTATGTTTCAGGCCCTCCTCTTACTACATTGTCAAAGTCGTCAGAATAGATGTTGAGATTGTGTGTTGGTGTTTGTGAAACAAAGTTTTCCCCCAAATATCCAGATGATTGACTTGTTTGTGGTACTAAGTCCTTCTGCTGCTCTCAGGCCTGCATGACCTACATCGCTTGATACCTCATTGTTGCCTTACTTTGTGAAGACCTTGGACCATTGGAACAACACTGGGGAGTTTTGGATCTGGCTTGCTGGCCTTCCACTCAGGCGAGCCAAATTGAGCAGTTTTGTGTTAAAGGTCCCAAAACCATGGATGCTGCTGGGGAAAAGACAGTAGTGAGCTTGTCTTCCTACCTCTTTTGTTTCTGTCCTTTTAGCAATGCTGCTGCAGATAGACTGTTTTCCCAGATGAACTACAGCACAGATATTCACAAATGTCAATTACAGACTTTTGGTTATTGGTGGAATCTTGTGTTTTGTGATTTAACATATTGGGCTCTTAAAGCAGTAATTCCTTTTTCACCACAATATCTTACAGCCTATAGGGCTAACAGGTTTGCTTGACTATATATGTATATTTCCTCATAGATTTCTTATTCACTTAAGGTTTGATGATATAATTACTCTTTCCTCATAGATTTCTTATTCACTTAAGGTTTGATGATATCATTACTCGCAGATTTACTTGGCATTTCTCAGGTCCAAAACACGGGGTATTTTTTTTGGAAAATGTACACATTTTAGTTAAATGATTGTATATTTAAAAATTACAGTGTTATTTTTATAAAACGAAATTTCATTTTGGGTTTCTTATAAACAGGATGAGAAAAATTTGACCATTTCATTTTCTTAGTAATTAAAAAAAAATTAAAATTACATCAAATGCATGTTTTCTTCATGTCTGTAAACCCGCATCATTCAGTATATTTTAACAAAAAAGGGCTAGAGTCAATTTGGCTTCTAATAACATTGCCTGCTAATTTTCAGGCCTTATGTATTGATTTAGCTGTGTCAAAACTGAGCCCTGTGCCACACTTCTCCATTTGATCTCTTTTCTGTCCAGTTTATTGAAAAGCAATCCTATTCCAGAAGCATCCTATGTTTCTGGCTCATCTTGTTTAGGTCTCTGTCCACATTCGCGCAATTATGTCGATTTTGAGGACTGTACTTAATGTGGTGTTTCTGTGCCTTTTCTGTTTGGCTTTATGAGAAGCCATCCCAGTCCAGGCACATTTTCCTGGCACAATCAAACCCTTGTGTCATTTTAAGTTATAATAAGAGGAAGCTGTATACTGAATTTGGTGGTCCTAGCTCTTACCTTTTAGGAGTTCTTAATCAGACAAACAAACTCTCTAAAATACATAGTAAATTATAATAGATTGCAAGAGATTTATATTGAAGTAGTTTGGCTGTAATATGAGGGACCTATAGGCCACACCCTGTATGCTGAGCTAAGGCAAAGTTAGCCAACCCATGTCTGGGCTCCTTGATTTAGATAGCAAAGTCAATTTGCATATATTTGGGCCCTTTTACCTAGATCGATTGGGATAAGATAATGGAACCTTGAATAGCTTAGGGCACTTCCACAAATACCTTCAAACTGAACAGGTACCATAATTTGGAGAAAAAAACCCGAACTAACTGGCTAAAACCAGATAGAATAATCAGGTAGGACAGAAATAACCAATGTAATACAGAACCATAAAAGGGACCATGGTCATAAATTGGCACATACGATAATAAGTTAAGATCAGTAATAATACTGACCTGTAAGAAAAAGACAATTCACCATTAATAAGAGGAGAACATACGATAATAAGTTAAGATCAGTAATAATACTGACCTGTAAGAAAAAGACAATTCACCATTAGTAAGAAGAGGAAATAAATAAATAGAAAGGGAAACATTCCCTACTGAAAATGCATCAGATATAATAATGTCAGTGTAACATATTATGAAAGTGGCATCCCAGCCAAGAGGCGGTAGGGAGATATAGTCCTTAAAAGGTGCCAGATGTAGTCGTCAGGACTCATTGGGGTGGCATCCTGACAGGTCCCCTGCTCCATCTATGATGATAACCATTTGGCTATGTGTGTTCATGAGTTTGCTTCACTGTTTTATTAAGTTGGCCATATAATCATAGAACTGGAAGGGACCTCAAGATGTCATCAAGTCCTGACCCCTAGCTCATCCCTGACAGGTGTCTGTCTAACCTGCTCTTAAATATTTCCAGTGATGGAGATTCCACAACTTCCGTAGGTAATTTATTCCAGTGTGTAACCACCCTGACAGGTAGGAAGTTTTTCCTAATGTCCAACCTAAACCTCCCTTACTGCGATTTAAGCCCATTGCTTCTTGTCCTATACTCAGAGGCCAAGGAGAATAATTTTTTTCCCTCCTCCCTGTAACACCCTTTTAGATATTTGAAAACTGCTGGCATGTCCCCTCTCAGTCTTCTCTTTTCTAAGCTAACGAAGCCCAATTATTTCAGTTTTCCCTCATGTTTTCTAGACCTTTAATCATGTTTGTTGCTCTTCTCTGGACCTTCTCCAGTTTCTCTGCATCTTTCTTGAAATGTGGTGCCCAGAATTGGACACAATATGCCAACTGAGGCCTAATCAGTGCAGAGTAGAGCAGACCATGTAAAATAAGCCAACACAGCAGACTCTGAGAGGGCCCCCAAATAAACACACTACCAGATAAGGATTGAAGGCACTCAGCCAGGTATATTGTAGATGAGGCTTGATCCTAGCTTCCACAGACCAAAGAAAAACAATCATCCCCTATGTACACATCATTTTGGCCAAGCTCACTTACCTCATGCCCCCCATGCTCAACCCTATTGTGTATGGGGTCAAAACCAAAGAGCTTCATGAGAAAGTGGTTGCATTCATCTGCAGAAGGTACTCGACTGGTGACGCTGACTATAAAACTTCATGACTCACGTGGTTATTGAGAAATGGACTGTGACCCTGGATTCGAGGGCTGTGTACCCCAGAATGTAATCAAGCTAATTGCAATCCCAAGATTTGAATGCACTCACCATGAATAATTGTAATACAATGCTGATTAGTTAATGATTAATTTGAAAGCAGTCCTTTAGGTGCAACGTGGAAATCTAGGTGATAGTTTCTGCTTCTCAGAATGGGAGGAGAGGATGGACAACTTGAGTCTGGACAGCTTTGACATTAGAAGTGTATTGAAAGTTATCCAAGTGATGTCACAGCAAAGACACTGTGATCTAAATGTTTTGAAGAAGTTATAAAAGATTAGCTAATGCAGGGAACTCTGAAGCAGTCCTCGGACACCATTTTGAGATGTTTTTCCAGGTGCCTTTTGTCCTTGGCAGCTGAGTAACTGATAATCATGCTTCCATCGTTTGGACGAATTTGCTGTATTCCCATTGACTTATTCCTGATGTCACCTAGGGTGAAATAGTCAAGCTGCCCCTGCTGGAAATTCTGAGAAATCCAGGTTACACACTGTTGTATTAAACTCCCACATCATGTGGGACTCAAACATACTGCTTTGCCTAGTTGATTTTGGAGTAGCTTTTAGTTGGAAATTGAATAATGCATGCTAACAATTACTGTTGTCGAAGACGGCAAACGTAGGCATTGAGATTTCATGCTGCGGTTTGTGAAATCAATGAAACAGAAATTGCCGCAAGCTAGCCAGCTGACTGAATCGCTTTGAGGACGAAGTTCTGCATAACATGTATCTCTTCATTGCCATTGTTTTGTGGCGATCTCGGCCATTTGGAGCAGCAGTGAAGATTTTCACCCATGGCTCACTGGTCTCACACTGAGGAAAACCAAGCAGAGACATTTTGGGTCAACGGTCTACCACTCATTGAGGAAACCTGGGACAAAGTCTGTTGTGAACTTGGCTTCTTTGCTCTTCCATTGATATTGCAGATTGTGTTTGCAGAGGTTGAGAAACAGGTTTGTTTCTTTTTTTAGATTAACTTGAGAAGAACAAATCTGTGCAAGAGAAACTTTTAGAAAACATTTTCTCTGTTCAGGATGATATAAAATGACTCATGATTTGGGCTGCCTTTGTGCTATTTTTATCACATGAAGCCTCACTCCTTCCGATGTGGCCTGCCACTTCAAAAATTTCTGAATTTTTGCCTCTGGCAAAAAATTGTTGCCTACCCCTGTCTTAAACAGTAATAAGTCACCAGGGCAAAATGATATAATGGTGTGATAGGAAAGGAGCCTGAGACATAAGCTCTTATATCCGAGGCCTGGTATGAGGCAGGATCTGCTCACAGAATTTGGCAAGAACATGGCCGATAGTGGAGACATACCCACTTCTAAAGAGAACTAAGTAGAGTATGCAAGCAAACTCGTCCCGATATAAAGTGATACCAGAATATCCTCATAGTACAGATGGCAGGAAAACATTCCCGAAGCAGAACAGTATCACACTGGCCCCTCCTAAAAGCAAAGGCCAGGATGACTATAGGTAATTTGTTTGTATTATGGTGTATCTCACAGGTAATATCTTTAGCCAGCCTAGGAGTGAGCACAATCTTCCACCCCAGACTGAGCTCGGTCCATTGGCATGGGTCTGTATGTCTTAGCATCCTTTGAGAATCCACCAGGTGTTCATACTCTGCTTTGTCCACAAAAAACCTGGCTGGACGACTCTGTCCTGAAATGGGTCTTTTGGTCCTTGT